ATATATATATATATATATATTTATATTTATAACATGATCACATATATAAAAAATAGTTAATTAGTGATTTTTAATATTACCGATGCAACCTTTATTATATTAATGATTTTTAATTTTTTTTCATTATTTCTCAATATAGACCATAACCATTCATAGTATTTAATAATTAAATAAGGAAAAAATTAACGTTATATAAATATAGCGTGTTTTGGACACGCACATTAACCATGTTATTTTGATGGAAAAAATTCACATTAAATAGAAGGTAGTATTTACAACTTTGAGATGAAGAATAACTGTAAACTAATTTGATGTTGGTTAGAAACGGTTAAGAGACTTTGATATTCTAAAATATCAACCCAATATTTTTAGTGAAACATTAATTTAGTTACAACTTGTCACGTTTAAAAAGATACAAATAACTATTTTCTTACCTAAAAGATGAAAGTGTTGAAATTTTTATTTTTTTCAAATACCTAAAATTAATTTTAAAACATTTACATTGAGAAAATTTTCTTCCTTTTGCAAATATATTTTACTCTAATATTTCCTAACTCTATACCATTAGGTCAGAAAAAGTCGTTTAAATGAGCTTTAAGGAGGTGCAAAAAAAAAAAAAGGTCATCACTTAGCATTTAATAGTATTTCCAAACAAAAATTTAGATCTAACACTTTCTTTAAGAAGAGTTGAATTTTCTTCTTTTTCTAACGTTGGGTTTTTACACGCTACCGTTGAATAATATGTAGGTATCACCCTAAAGCTTCAACTTGATCATTTTGTTAAGATAAAATCAACTTTTGAATAAAAGTTAGACAAAAAGAATTCTTATGAGACCGCTAAGTTTATGATCATAATTAAACTCATTAAATCTTATAACTCTTATATTTATACCGAAACCAATATTTATCCGGAATTTAACATTTTCTAAGCTCACGATGCCTTACATAATATAAACATGCATGTTCTTCTTAAAGTAAACGAAAGAAACATGATAAAATAATTTTTTTTTTGAATTATTTTAAAATTTCCAATCTAAATACTTAACTTAAAACCATATTATTAGAGAGTGAATTTTAATTCTATTAGATATTTCATATCATTTACAAATTTACACTATATTATAGATAAAGTTGAATTAAATTTAAAGTTTATTATTTTAACATGGTATCTAGTTAAGATTAATTGTTTTCATGATGAATTAACTTTTAGTTGTTGTTCCTATATGGTCGGTCATCTGACTTGTCTTAGCAATCTCTTTCTACATCTGTAACTTTTACTATAATTGGATAATTGTGATTGAGTGAAACAACTAAAGAATAATAAATAAAATTGTGTTGGAAATCTCGTATCATTTAGAAATAAAATAAAATTACAATAGGTAAATGAATACAAACCTAACTTACAAACAAATTTTATAAAATTGAGTCAAACTTAAAATACATTTCTTAACCAATTATATTGAACTTTACAAAATAAATTTCTATTAAGATAAAAATTACAATTTATATACTATAATACTATTTTTTTTTAAATTATTTAAAATCAAACTTAATTTGACAAAATGAAGTAGTAAGATATCATCATTTCATATAATATATATTAATATATTCCATGTAATTTCGAAGACACATGTTACTTGTACGAAACGAAAACATCACTATCTTCGTAACATGATATATATTTTGGAATGTTATGCATGAGTTGTAGCACATTTATCTTGGAGTGGCTGACCTTGCAACTAAATTCAATGATAATCTTAATTTGATGTATGAAATTACCAACTAGGTTTGATTTGGTCTAATAACAATATAAATGGAACATAAAAACAATTCAAATAATTATAAGAGTTGAAAAAATTATACAAAGTTAAGTGACTTATGGTGTGTGCATCAAAATGTCTATGATGTTGTGCTGAGAATGAATGAATATAATGAAATTAATGCATTATTATTTGTGTAAACTCAACAAAAAATCACAAGAAGTCCAAGATTCGCGGCACGAAGACAGATAACAAGAACCTTTTTCAACTTTATATATAATATTTTTAGTTATATATAATCAGAATTCCCACCTTTAGTCTACAAAAATTAGTTTTTTTTATTAACAGTAAATCCATACGGAAGGAATAAGTATTATTTTAAAAATTAAATAAATTGAAAATAAAAAAAGGAAAAAGGTTGAATAATAATAATAAGGACAAAAGTAATGGATATATATTTTACCTACCTAACAGTATAATATATTATATTTAAAAATTATAATGTATTAATTAAATTTTAATTCATCAAAATAAAATAATATAGTAAAAAAAGTTAATAGAGATATTTCAGTGATTTCTTTTTATGTAAGTATTCATGCAAAATAATCAATTTTGAAGTTAGACATTTATTAATTTTTATGTAACAAGTTGTGTATAATTAATTAAGAAATATAAATGATAAATTCAATTTGTAAGTCAATCCTTATAAAATGATACATCTATAGTTGTATACTTTCTTTTTTTTGCTATTGCCAAGTATGTTTATATAACAAATACAAATAATCAATTTATTTTTATTGAATAAGTTTAAAAGAATTATTTCTTATTTTTATGGGTACGCAGACATTGTTTATTGTTATTTTTCAAACGATACCTTTCTTAATTACACACAGGTCTACTTGTTTTTTAGACCACTGCAACCCCTGTTCAAAGGTAATTTTATATGGTGTGCCAAGTCAAGTATAAAAAAAATCCATGTAATTAGTGATACTTTTATTTAATTTTATAAACAATTGAAGTTGTAGAATTATATATTTTATAACTTACATGCTTTGTGATGAATAATTTCAAATCATTTAATTCCATAAAGCATTTAGGATAAATTGTATATGTGTAGTTATTTTTCATTTAAACTTTTTACATGCTTATTTGAATTCAACGGAATAAATTTTTAAGTTTATTTTGATGAAAAAATGATCGAATCACGCTAACTCAACCTAATTAAAATTTGATATGATGTTTAAAGGTTGAATAAATTAATTCAAATATTATTTTACTTTCTTACAACAAGATTCATTCAACCATGTCTCTATCTTCTTGAACAAATATTTATCTTTCATAAATATATTAGGCTAATCCAAAAAAGGTAGTAAAAATAAAACAATACCAGTCATTAATAAAAAAAATAGCATTGATATTTCAACGGATCTTCGATTTATTATTCATATATACAAAAATATCAAAAATAATTTTGTCATCAATTATTAAAATTATTTTCTTTACTTTCTAAAATAAGATAGTCACTTCATAAAACAACCTAATTAGAAAAACTACCACCAATTAATGTGCGTGATAGACTAAACTATCCTCGATAAATTGTGAATTCAGAATCTTAAATTATAGCAATGTAAGGAAATAGATTGTAATAATATTGTTAAAATATTTTTTTTTATAAATATATTATATGCGACAACACTTGTTAATTATTGGAATTGAGAACCTCGCGTGAAACATTCATGTGGTATTTAGCAAATAATTATAATCAATATATTGATCAGCTGCAAAAAAATAAAATAAAATTACATATAAATAAACAAAATCAAGTTTGTGAACATAGTAGTAAAGGATTCAACCTCCTTCAAGGAAAGTCCGAGATTTAAATGTTGTTAAAGAAAAAAAAAACATGTTGTTTAATAAAGATATTTCACACCAATAAGTTTTTATTTAATTTTACAACTAATTTGCAAAAGAGATATGCTTGAATTTTTTATGTGGTCCCATGTTCTTTTAATTTGAAATTAATTGCTATTTTGAAGGAGAGTTTTATTTCTATTAACCTTATTAATATTTTAGTCATCAATCTATTTCCCAGTATAAATATTCATTTTATAGAACTAAACTTCGTAATAAATAATGATTAAATATATAAATCAGGTTAGAGACTTACAGTTCAGCAAACTAATTGAGGAATATCAGAAGAAGGGTGACGTTTAGAGAAAAAAAATGAATGAACTATATTATAAGATGATAGAGAAACAAGTGGTATAGAATGTTTGATATATTAAAATCAATATCTGTATAAATATATGATGATTTTTTTATTGTAATTAAATAAATATTTGGAATAATTAAGAAGATTAAAATATGTGAATCTAAAATGGAAAAAAAGAGATGGTGGTAAATTAAATGGTAATGAAGTTGAGAACGTGGGTTTGTTAGCAAGATTTGACCCTACGGCTCTTGTACTTCCATTCCACGTCACTCTTCAATCAACGTCTCATCCTATTCCGTACGTCTTTTCCTTCTTAATCTCATCAATCTTCCATTTCATTTCAGCTTTCTCTATATATAATAACCCTCTTCTCTCTCAACCTTTCCAATCTCTTCAAACTCAGCCATGAACATGTACCATCTGCAACAGCTTCATAATCATCAACCTGTGACGAGGAAGAGGGAGAGAAACAAAGGCTTGGAGAAAGAGAGGCTTCAGGTCATGGATTTGAGTGGCATGTCTTTGGACTCTCTTCCAAAACCTTCTCTTGATTTGGCCACCATTTCCAAGTTGGACTTATCTAACAACAATCTCCAGGTATACCTTTTCATACCTTCCAACTAATATTTCTTCTGAAATCCAAACAGTTTGCAAAATATGATGTTCTGTCTGTTCATAAGGTGTATAATTTTCCTCAGAGACTCGTTTCTGATTAATTTTAGTTCACACACAGAAATAATTGTATGATAATTGATATAATATTATTATATCAATCAACTTGCACTGAAAAGAAAGAAGATAACTAAGTGAGTTCAAAAACATGGATAAGTGCATGTGCATCCAAATATATATATATATATATATATATATATATATATATATATATATATATATAACTCACTTATCTTCTGTCTTTTTCCTTTTTCCTTTTTCCTTATCATAAAAATGAGTTTTGAAGGGCATAATGAACATTAATGGCTGGTTCAGTACAGAATAAAGAAGGAGAAATGAAATCGTGTTCTTTTTTTGTTGTAACAGGAGATTCCTGAATCCTTAACTGCGAGACTGCTAAACATGGAGGTGTTGGATGTTCGGTCCAACCAGCTTAAGTCTCTTCCTAATTCCATTGGTTGTCTCTCTAAGCTTAAGGTTTTAAATGTCTCTGGCAACTTCATCGAATTCCTCCCCAAAACCATTGAGAATTGCAGGTTAGTTTTTTTTCTTCTTTTTTTTTTTTACCACTTCTCTTTCCACTATATATTTATGTTGTAATTAAATCGTCTAGTTCTGGGAAATCTCCATATATATGGATATGAAGTTTTCTATTTAGCTAAAACTAAATCTGTTAAAGTATCTCATTAATTATGTGTATCTGCTCCATTTAAATCACTTGTCCCATACTAAATTAAGGAATTTTTTCATTGAAAGAGTAAATCAAATTGTGGTGGAAATGGTAGAATTAATACACTTTTATTTGTCAACCTTATGTGAAAGAGAAATTATAGTTTCACACTCCTACGTATTTTTTAGGAATTTGGAGATATAAGACAAGGGAAGAGTCAATTCAGATTGAAAATTATGAAATTTTACATAAATAAATAAAAAAGAATAACTTAGAAATTATTTAGAAATATTTTATAAAACGACATTTTTTACCTGAATTATAAATATACAATAGTTTCTTCCTCTGGTCTGCATTATCATGGCAAAAAAAAATTGTGGACAAAACGTTTCCGTTGTCTATTTTTCTTTCGGCGGCATCAAATCCTGTGTACGAAAGTCTGCAAAAACCTTCACCATGTTCATATTGGAAAGCTTAATAATAGATTTTTGTAAGTATTGAATTTTCTGTAAAGCAAATTATGTAACTGATGATAGCAACCCATATACTTTTCTTTTGAAGAAAAATGAGTTAAACAATTTGGAAAACTGAGTTGCCGTCACAAATCAGGGATTACAATTTGAAAAAACAGACACTTCATTTTTTTATATATGATTCTCCGTGATTGTTGTTATGTACATCAAAATCAAAGTAGGTGCACTTGAAATTAATACAAATTTGAAATATGGCTCTACGTTAATTTGATTGAAACTGATTGAGGCAAGGAATCAATTAATTTATAAATGTTGTGTTTGAATATATGACTACACTCTTGGCCAATTATAATTGATGATCAACCTTGACCTTCTGCACTGTCAAACCAATAAATAATAAATCTATAATATTCCAAGTCAAACGTGGACTATGTTTAACCACAACAACAATCTCCATTTAATTATTCTAATCCTTCAATAATTTTCCATCCTAATTCAACATGCCATGCATTATTAAGCTTTTCTAGTTTACATCACAAATTCAATATTGTAATTCCTTGCAAATCAAAATTATCACTTGATCAGAAGAGTGCAAGAAAGAAAATAACATTAATTATTGAAGAATTGAAAAGGAGGGAAATCATACATGATTCTGCACGATCTTTCATTAATCTTCAACTAGTTCATATTATCATTGTTCATGGTGGTTCATCAGAGCATTGGAAGAACTGAATGCGAACTTCAACAAGCTGAGCAAGTTACCAGACACAATAGGGTTTGAGCTGATAAACCTGAAGAAGCTCTCGGTGAACTCGAACAAGCTGGTTTTTCTTCCTAGCTCGACCTCACACCTAACATCATTGAAGGTTCTGGATGCACGGTTGAACTGCCTAAGGGCACTTCCGGAGGACCTCGAGAACCTCATCAACCTCGAGACACTGAATGTGAGCCAGAACTTCCAGTACTTGGAAACCCTCCCTTATTCCATAGGGCTCCTCTTGTCCCTGGTTGAACTTGATGTCAGCTACAACAACATCAAGACCTTGCCTGAATCCATTGGGTGCCTCAAGAACCTGAAGAAGCTAAGTGTTGAAGGGAACCCTCTGGTTTGTCCGTCGGTGGAGGTGGTGGAGCAGGGCCTGCACGTGGTGATGGAGTTCATGCAGCATAAGATGAACTCGAGTGATCAACGCCCGGCGAAGAAAAGGTGGTGGATGATGAAGATGGTGAAGTGTGGAACCTTCGGTAAGCAAGTGAGAGGTGGGAAACGACCAGAACATGAAGGTTACAACATGCTTAAGCACCAGAAGATCAATGGTCTTGCTTCGCCAGGCTTCATGGGAATGCTTTCACCTCTTCGCTTCTTCTCGTCACCCCGCCATTCCTTCGGCTGAAGATACTTTTGTAATTAATCACTGTCATTTGGAGAGGAATTAATTACTTCATGAACTAAGATCTCCTGTGTTCATAATCTTACACTAATTTTCATGTGCTTCTTTTTTTTATGATAGTTACCATTTCTCTTTTGTTGTTGAATAGTTTGGTTCTGTGTTCTGAATTCGAAGGATCAAAGGTTTGACAGTTATGAACAGGAGAAATTGTGACTTAGGTTGTACTTAAGTGTATAAAATAATAGGTTCATGGTATCATATTGAGTACAAAATGGAGGGTTTGTCTGTTTGTGAAGCTTTCAAAATCAAGTTTGCTCTCGAGATAATATACGAACTCGTTCCGGAATGGTTATGCCGCATTATTGATTGAACCTTCATTAATTTTGTTTTGTTGGCAAGAGTTTCATTATCTCATTTCAATTTTTTTAATTTCCAAAGTAAAAATTATTCTTCTACTTCTACTTGTTATTTCTTTCTTTTGGTTTCAATTGTTGATATAAACTTAAATTTGGGAAGTTTATTAGTAATTTTGTTTGAGTTTTATTTTAGTTGTTTTTTGTTGCCGTTTTCAATTTCAGTTGTCACAGTTTTTGTTTTCGTTCTATTTTTATTAAGCTCGATTAATATTATTTTGTACTCAAGTCTATTATAATTTGTAGTTATTTAAAGGCCGATTTCATTAATGGAAATACACAGTAAATTACACATAATAATTGCATACTGAGAGGTGTGTGTCGTATATTTAACAAATTAGTATCAGAGTTATTGTGTCTTGTGTAAAAAGAGTGTCAAAGTGAGAAAGAGAGAAAAACTTGCTTAAGTGTTTGATGAAGAGAAAAAGAGATCATTAATCATGTAAGCGATAAGTCCTTCTCGCAGTTAATGGAAAAACCAATTATGGTGATTAATCTGCTTTCGAAGACAAAATTGATTTAACTGATTTTCGAAAATCAGATTAAAAAAATTATTTAATCGATTTTTAAAATCTAGTTAATAACTTGAGTAACTTTTGAAAATCGATTAATATTTTAACAATTTTTAAAATACATAAAACTTTTAATTGACTCTCGAAAATTAATTGATTTTTTAATCGGAAAACCAAATTAAAATTTTGGAGATGCATTCACTACAAAAATATTTAATTTTAGAAGAGGTTATTTTGCGGGGGATTTAAAAACCCCGAATATTTTCGGCGGTTATTTAATGAAACCGCCGGTAGTCTCTTAAAATTATTATTACCTCCTCTCCCGCACCTTATTTCCTTTTAATTCCCTAAATGTGCCCTAATTTTCTCCCTCCTTTCCCGCTGCCTTCATTAAAATTTTCCCCAAACCCCCGTCCCCGCACCACAATCTTCCCTGCTTCGTGTTCGTGGAGCATCTCTTCCAGCTGCATTCATCAAATTTTCCCCCAAACCCTTTCCCCGCACCACAATCTTCCCCTGCTTCGTGTTCGTGGAGTGTCTTCCCCTGCTTGGGTTGAGCGTCGAGGTTGAGGTGGCAAGGTCGAGGCGGCGAGGTCGAGGCAGCGAAGTCGAGACG